TTCGATGTTCAGTCTTTGAAGTGTTCATCGACCGCAGAACAGTAATTTTTTGGAGAAATTAAAACCATATCACCGGCCATGTTTCTGCGCTTAATGGAAAGTGTTATGACGTCATCTAGTGGGTGTTATTTTTAAGAAGAATCTTTGCTTTCATCTTCCTCGATTACGACAAACACTTGTTCTTAAATTGACATTACTTTGAATTTAACTGAACGAACTGTGGTCGAGTAAAGTGTAGCTTTGAAAATGATGAATGAACGTTGAGCCACTCTTTAGTTACGAGTTAACGTCAAGAGTTTCGGCAGAAATGGAGGGAGAAATCGCCAATGAAGACACGACAGCGATTTGGCAGTGAGAATCGAGAAATAATTTTAACGATCCATGATTTTGAGATGGCTAACACAGCAGCTGGCCTTATCAAATTCAGTGGAGAAAAGTGACTCCGGAGCTCGGCGTTTACTATACGTTAACATACGTCATTAATGTTTCTTGTTTCAGTCTGTTTTGTTTAACGGACACTAAAGTAGGTGTGAGATGTGTAGTTCACAAAAACTTCGGAAATAATTTATTACGTGTACATTCCACGAGTGTTGATGAAAAAAAAAAAATACCACAAAATACGGTTTGATGGCCAAGTGGTTATTACAGTCGTCTCTTTCAAATGATTTGCTAAATACCCTCGCAAAATTGAGTAAGGATTGATGTTTCTGAGCGAAACTTTGATAATTTAAGTGCGGATACTCCCCGTCAGGCCCCCGGAATCGAAATCGAGGTCTTCAAAACACGAAACCGCGCTTGTGTCCACTGAACCGTGACACCGGTGAAATGAATCACGTTCATCGTTACAAAAAAGAAACGCTTCTCAAAAGAACAAAAATATCTTCATATAACAGAACATCGTATTTTGAACTCGGCTGGGAGCTGAATCATACGACATGAGACAGACATTGACGTTAATAAAAAGTTAAGTTTTCCCGTTACACGCCACGAGGATGCTTGAGGGGAGAGGCGAGATAACTCCTACTCATTCTTGTTCT